CTCTTAAAAAAAAAAAAAAAAAAAAGGAAAAATATCCTCGGGTGAAGATTAACAAGAGAAGATAAAGCCGCTGTGGTGACCTCTGACCCGTTGATAACCTCGACACTGAGCCTCGTCACTGCCAGCTAATGAGGACACTGATGCCCAGCGGAGGGTGAGTCACCTGGACGGTGAGAGCAGCTCAGCTGGCCCATGATCAAATCATGGCTGTTTGCCAAGTGGCTGGAATTCAGACTCAAGAAACAAGATTATAATCAAAAGACTCCCGTGGAAGTTAAGACATTCATTATTCCCATTTAAAAAGGAATCTATCAGGCTGGAAATAAAGTTTTAAATATGCTTCGTTTCCACATCACGCACCATACTCTTGGTCATGGCAGCTGTCTAGCAGCAAGAACGTAAAACACTGGTGGAGACGTAGAATGAGTTCCGGTAAAAGGGACTGCCCCTAAGTCCTCCACATTCTAACTGAAGGCTGGGTAACAGCCCATGAGTAATTTTCCAGGCCTACCCTTTTGGAAAAGACAGTTTTGCAATAGAACCACATGGTGTGCCTCAGAACTGGGTTATACCCTCATCAACCCAGTAGCTTAAAAAAATTAAGCTGCTGCCCCGGCCGAGTGGCTCAGTCGGTTGGAGTGTCGCCCTATACACCAAAAGATTACGGGTTCGGTCCCATTGGGGCACAAAGGAGAGGCAACTGATGAGAGTTTCTCTCACTTCGATGTTTCTCTCTCTTTCCTTCTTCATCCCTCTCTAAAAATCAATGAACACATATCCTTGGAAGAGGGTTTTAAAAAAAAGTTAAGATTGTTCCTGTTTTTCCCCAATACTACGTGCATGTTTTTATGGCACCTATCAGTGCAACTCCTTGGGACGCCCTCTAGGGATCCTAACGCAGCTAGTGCCCTTGCTGGCAGAGACACAAACCCCTGTGCTGGGTGCTGTATCAGACGAGTCCTAAGGTGCTGCCCGCCTGTGGTAAACACTGCCAGGCATGTCCAGTCTCTTCGAGGCGCAGGCACTTCACACTAATCTCATTTTCTAACTTCACAGGTAGGCAACAAGTCCAGGAACCAGAACAGATTAAGCACAGAGCTCTGGTAGCTCAGCAAGCCACTGTCAACACACAAACCATAAGGTTCTATTTAGGTTTGACTCCCTGTGTAGAAAAACTAAGGTTGGTACAAAAAAGTAGAGCGCAACTCAGCAGGCGCTTTGACTAGAGCTGTGACCAGGAATAAGTGTTTCCCAAAGACAAACCAGCATGTTTCAACTGAGGGGAGGCCGGCAAAGGATGAAGTCGAAGAGACTTGGGATGAGCGACGTTGAACAGACCTGACCGAAACGTTACTGTATTTGCTTGGACAAAAGCTACTGGACAGTCAGGATGCCCTGAGAACACTCGGCCCAGCTCTGTACTTAGGAAGAAACACCGAATGCCTGGAGTTTTCAAATGCTCAGGTTAAAATCTAGCTGGTTTGCTTGAAGTTACTCAACATTTTAGAGACGACATGCACAAAGCCATTTAATTCGAATCCTTACAAACATCATACCTTGAGACATTTTAGTAGAGAAGGCAAAAGAGGTGCTTGAGAGAGCTTATGCTTCCAGGGTGGCTGCAGCCGGATGACGTGGCCCAGTAACGAGAGGGTGGATAACCGAGAGGCGGCTTTGCCCACATATTCATTCATTTTGTCCAAGAGGTGCTAAAAACGTGAAAGAACAGGGAAATATATCTAGTAAAGCTGGGGGTGGAAGGGAGTCAAGGGAACCAAAGGAAACCCTTAGATGAACATACAAGGATCACACAAACAAAGCTGGCAGTGATAGGCTCCTGGCCCCCAAGGCCTCCCCTGATGTAGAGCAAGGGTGCCACAGGTAAAGAGATCAAATTCAAGACTTTTTAAACCATGTTGGCAAACAAAACACTGTTGCATCTGGCTTGAGAGAGGACAGCCAGTCTGCACTTCCTAAAAAAGGATCCCCATAACATGCATCTGCGGCGGGAGGCAGAGAGGCCTGAGGACACTCCTTCGTAGGACACTCCTTCATAGGCCCTCCTTTTGAAATACAAAGAGGTCACTTCTTACCACAACCACAGGCCCCCAGCCTGCGGCCTGCTGCTGAAGCTGCGAAGGGATCCCACTGGAAGCACACTCACTGCTACAGTAGCCCAGCTACATGGTTTGGCCCCAAATATAAATCAGGTAGTAACAGAAGTTAAAATTCAGCCCAGAGTGAAAAAAACAAGAGGGCAAGGCCTTCAAATTCTGGTAGCGTCACCAGCATACAAACTCAAGATGTCCCAAAGTCTGCCATTAAAGTGCTCTACTAGCTATTGACCACCAAGCAAAATAAAGCATGCCTGGCCGGTTTTGCTCAGTGGTTAGAACATCAGTCCGTAGACCAAAGGGTCTCGGCTTGACTCCCAGTCAAGGGCACTTACCTGGGAAGCAGGTTCAATCCCCAGCCTGGGTCAGGGCACATGCAGGAGGCATCGATATGTTTCTCTCTCTCTCCCCCCCCGCCTTTCTTCCCTTCCACTCTCTCTAGAAATCAATGGGGGAAAAACCCTAGGGTATGGATTAACCAAAAAATAAAGGAAAAGCAAAATGTAAGGGACCTCCCAAAAGCTGGGAGACAGGACTCACCCGTTAGCCCCATTAGTTACCTGCGCTTTACATTTTCCAAGGCTTATTAGAAGTTGAAAAATCCTATTCAAAGCACGGGGTTAACCAGGGCTGTGCTATGGGTCAGGCTGGCACTGCACAATTACAGTACTGGGATTCCAGGTTTCTTTAAACAGCAAGATCTTAAAAAGCCTCTGAAATTTATTTCATTTTTTAAACTTTTCCAGAAACGTAGACCCTGCAGATGACTTTCACATGTGGTGATAACCTGGGAACGAGGGCCCCTGCGGCAGGTAGGAGCTGGAGGGGAGAGCTCTGGGGCCTGCCCAGCTGGTGTACGGAGAAGCCAGCGCACCACATGGGAGAATGTCCCCCATGCTCCGCTCTACACCCTGGCAGTTACCTTATCATGTGGCTCTTGCAAGGTAGTCAGGATGTGCAATACTTGCTGAGAACTGGTTTCCAGGTAATAATCCACCAAGGTGTTCACAAGCATCGGACCACGGTCTGAACAAAGACAAGGGTAGTTTCTCATAGTTATTTCCTTTAACGTTCAAATTTACCTCAAATAGTCGCCTGTCACAAAATCCAGAAATCGTTCCTCTATAGGCTACCCACAGTCATACGAAGCATTCTATTTCTGCTTCCTTACATTCATTTAGGTTTAACAATAAGATAACACTAAGTTTATTTGTCTAAATATCCACATAAGCACATAAATGCTATCTTTTTTATTACTCTTTTAATTACAAAAATAACCCATGCCTATTACTGACAATTCAGACTATATTAAAGTACATAAAATGAAAATGGAAGTCTCCTCACCACCTGCCTCCCAACCCACTCCGAAGAGAAATGCCCTAGACTTTGGTAAATGTCCATTCAAACACCTTCCTACTTGAATCTCTCTCGAGCACGTGCGCACACCGCCCCCAAGTCCATATCCTCAGAGCCTGTGTGTTTTGTCATTTAATGAGGTGGTGCAGACACCTTTCGATGTCGGCACCTAGGACCTATTCATTCTCTTTATTGACCCTTTCCTTGTTCATTACTGCTTGGCTCCACGCAGCTAATTTAACCATTCAGCTACTGAAGGACACCTGGCTTTCCCCAATTTTTCACTATATTTCATTCAAGGCTATAATGAAATGCAGATTCTTGTAGGTGGGCAAATGGTACATGTTTTTAAATTGATGATACTGCAGAAAGGCTGGCCACCAACTTAGTCTCCTGCTAACAATGTCTATTTCTATGATCCGTATTTGATTTTTACCCACCTGGTAAGCAAAAACAGGTACTGTTTAAACTGTTTTCCTCCAATTAAAGAGGTTAAGGATTTCTCATATTAAAAATCACACATATGATTTACAGATAAAATGGTATATCTGGGATTTGCTTTAAAATACTTGGATGGGGGGAGTCAGTGAAGTTAAGATAAAATAAGAATGGTAGAAACAAGCAATGGGTTCAAGGGGGTCACTATGGGATTCTTATGTCTATGTCTGTGTACATATTTGAATATTCTGCAATTAAAACACACAGCGTAACTTCACCAATGTATGCTCTTTGTTGGTGGTTTTAAAGACTCTCTTGAGAAAATGAAACCATAATTTATGAGCAGGATTCTGGTCACCGCTACGTCAATGTCTGCCGATTGCAGATGAGCTGAAAAGAACAGGCTCCTGCTCACCAGAATTGAGGTTCTCTTTAAAGACGGCCGTGACATCATCACGCACACTCAGCACCGGGGAGTCCAGCATGGAGAGCAGCTCCCCAATATTGGCTTGTTGGGCCATTTTCCTACACGGACGTGCTGTGCAGGGTCCAGGACGTTCGTTAAAGACTCTGAAGGCTCTTCATTGGTGCTGCTACCAGACTGAGAAAAAGGAACACAGGGTGACAAAACAATCAAGTTTTCCCCACAGAAAACACCTGCGGGACAGAGCAGCGTGTGTTTTCAGTGCCGTGAACAGCATGTCCAGAACCTTGCCGATGAGAGCAGCCAGGCGCGTGAACGCTGCTGCCTGTGGCAAATGTATGAGAAGGATTCTCCAGATGCAACCACCAGAGAAACCAAACACGGCACCACTCAGAACCGATCCTGCGTCACCTCACTCGCCAAGTGTGGCTGCACTTCCCCACTTCGTGTACCTCCCCACTTTGGTCTCTAAAGCTCTATCTTCAAAAACAAGTGACAGCTGCTACCATGTGTCAGGCAGGAACTGCGTACCTTCTACGAACACCATCGAATACACTACTCTCTTAGTACCATGTGACTGGTTCTTTGGTCCCATTTTTATAGGGATAGCAACAGAGGTCGGGCCATTGGCTTGGGGTCACAAAGCTAGCAAGAGGCAAAACCAGGGAAGAACTGAAGGCTGAGCCCAGGTCCGCCTGACTCCAAAGCTCCAAGCCCTTAAATGGGACACAAAGCTAGCATGTGGCTGACCCTCCCGGTAACTGTGTGAGGGAACCAGCTGGCACCCTTCCTTTATAAATGAGAACATGGAAACTCAAAAAGGATGAGTGAGTTGGCCACGGTCACATGGAAAAGCAGAACAAGGCTGGCCCAGTCCCCAGGCCAATGAAGACAGATGCCACTTGCAGCCATGTTAAAATATACCCTGCCCAGCCAGGCGTGGCTCAGCGGTTGAGCATCGACCTAGGATCCAGGAGATTGGGGTTCGATTCCCCGTCAGGGCACATGCCCAGGTTGCGGGCTAGGCAGCCGACCAATGACTCTCTCATTATTGATGTTTCTATCTCTCTCTCTCCCCCTCCTTTCTTCTCTCTGAAATCAATAAAGATGTGTTTAAAACACACACACACACACACACACACACACACACACACACATATACACACAAATACACCCTTATTTTCTATGTTTTCCTTTGAATAAGCTAAACCAGAAGTTATCAAGCTTTAGTGTCCATCAAAATCACTTGGGATGCTTGTTAGAAACGCAACTTCCAGGGCCCATCCAGAACTGGATTGGGGCTCAGGAATCTGCATTTTAATAAGCACCCCAGGTAATTCCTATCTGGGTGATACATAAACCCTGTCTGAGAAACACTATGTACAGAGTTAAGCTCCTCCTACAGGATGTCAAATGTAAAGGAGCAATGACCCCAGAAACTAGAGAGTATTAACTACTGTCATCTACGTTCTTGTTTAATTATAACCAGTAACGATTCACTGACTTGGCTCTTGGTTAGTCAGAAGTTCATTTGTCAGAGAAATCAATTAAAATGTCTAAATGCATTTTTGATAGTAAATCATGAAGTACACAGTATTTATAGTCACACCTATAAATATAAATCTTACAGGAAAATCACAAAGGAAGGCCATTTGAAAGGGCTCAGAACTCTTACAACTGGTAAGATTTTACCACAAAAGAGTTTAAAACAGAAGAGAAACCAATGTCGCCTTGCTGTGAGCTGGACTCAATTACCGCCATGGTGAAGGCAGCAGCTGGCCAGGGTGTATTCTTCCTAGAGGACTAAACGGGATGACTGATGTCAGTCACACACTTCAGCACAGCACGTGGCGCAAATAAACACTCGCTGAGCAGTGCAGCATGTCATTGGGAAGAGTCCAATAAATGTCTTCAGGACACTGCTTTCAAGATGACTTTTTTTAAACCCTCACCCAAGGATATTTTTTCCATTGCTTTTCAGAGAGAGTGGAATGGGGAGGGAGAGAGAGAAGCATTGACAGGACAGAGACACATGGATTGGCTGCCTCCCACACGCACCAGGACTGGGGCCGGGGATCGAGCCTGCAACCGAGGTAGCACGTTTACCTTCCTAGCCCCATTTTCATTTCTACTTCAGGTAAATCACAAATGACCCTTAGATTTTAAAGTATTTTGTCTGTAAGTTCAGTTTTGTTCCAATAAAATTGCTACTTACGGTCTCGGAGATGCTCCTTTGTGTACTGAGAAGACAGCCCTGTCAGGGCTGGTCCCAAATGAGGAGCCCAGAGCACAGTGGCATAAGCTCAGTTCTAAACAAAGACGGCGACCATCCAGTCAACCTGGCAGTGGTCAGGCTGACCGACTTGGACCATCCAGCTTGTTTTTCAGTGTGTAAATATAATTTAGGCATAGAAGTCTGGTTTCTGAAGCCTACTCTTTCCAAATGCTTTACACAAGGCAAAAATAAGGTTTCAGCTAAAACACATTAGAACATTTTTGGCAACAAGCTTTTCTCTTTGGTTCTAAAATTCTACCCTTTAAACATATTTCCTAATCCCTAGAAAAAATATAAATATTGGGCTTTGTATGAGATTTGTCATTTAAGTGACCCAAGTTCAAGGATTTCCAATATTCTAAAAAGCCCTGACAAAAGTTGAATTATAAGCTTTTGGAATGAGTCCCATGACTGGAACATCTCTCCTTTTTAAACTCATTCAAATATGTCTTAAGGGCCTCAGTGCAGGTGCTACGGAGGGCAGACAGACCTAGCAAGCACACTGGAGAATTATGCACATGTGAGAAATGGCCGTGGCTCAGTGGGTACACAAAGGCGGGGAGGAACCAGCCTGGGCTGGGCTGGTGGTGGCGGGTGAGATGCGCAAGCGTTAAACACACTTTACAACCTACGGAAGAGTTGCTGGAAACAAACACAGAAAGGTGAGCGCCACAGGCACGTGAAATACCCACTTACAGCCGTGCCAGTCTCTCTTCCATCTTAGAAAGAACCAAGTATAGAAAACAGAGAAGGTAGGAGAAGCCGAAAGTCAGTATCTGGGTTAATACATGTCTGTATCTACATGCAAAGCAACATTCCAGCTACTTTAATGTTATCTTTAGTGGCCGCATGCACAGCACAGTGCTATAGATGACACTGTTTATACTAAGAGCAGGACTTCCAACACCCACTACCCACCCCAAACCCTGTCACTCTGCCCATCCTCTGGTCTCAGTAAAAGGTCAAGATGCAGACATCTAGGAGACACCTTGTTGCTTCCACCACTCTTACCCTTACATCTGAGGTAAGTCCAGTCCAAACCCACATTATGGCCCCTGGAGACAAGAGAGCAGCAGCCTCCCTCACCACCTTCCTGCTTGCATTCCTGCTCCCCTAGAACTCATTTGCCACTAAACAAGAGACTTGAAATATGAATATCAGAATCTATCACTCCCCTGTTTAAAATCAAACAATGGCTTCCTGTGGAGCTAATAAGAGCCAAACTCACGAGCAGCCTCTAAGGCTCCCACAGCTCAGCCATTTATGAACTCCCCAACCTCCCTCTGCCTTCACTTCACACCCCTCTGCTTCATTTCTCTGCTCTAGTCTCTGTCTTTGAAAACCCAGGAAGAAAGCTTCTCGATCAGTGCCTTTGCACACACTGTTCCCTCCATCCCTGGAGTGCTCCTCTCCCACATCCTCACAGGGCTAACTGTCCTTCAGGTCTGTCTCGATACCTGGCCCTGGTTTTTAGGTGTGAAATTTGAACTATCAACTGCCTACTTCGGCAGCATTCCTGGCATCCTTGACTCTGTGTGTGTGTGTGTATGTGTGTGTGTGTGAGAGAGAGAGAGAGATCAATAACTACATGTTCATGTTGTCACCATATTATCTAATCCACACAATGTGCAAAGTGGACAAGGCATGCATTTAGAATTACTACTAATACCTGAATAATTGCTTTCAAATAGAGGTAACACATAAGTTCTGTATTTATGTATGACAGGCTGAAATTCTGTCAGTTTAAGTACAGATGTATACTTATAAAAATAAAATCGGCAGTTAATGACGTGACTTTTTAAAAATATGTTTTAATTGATTTTAGAGGGAGAAAGGGAGAGAGAGAAACATGAATATGAGAGAGAAACATCAATCGGTCGCTTCATGCACGCACCCCAACCAGGGACTGAAACTGAAACCTGGGCATGAGCCACGACTGGGAATCGAGCAGAAGCCCTTTCACTGCGCTGGACGATGCTCCAACCAACTGAGCCACACCAGCCGGAGCATGATGTGACTTTCACATTAAAAAACAATTGAGAACTTTCAACTAGTTAAATACATTAACTAATAATGTGAATATCAATAGGGTAGACTAGCTAGATCACTATAAATAACAGTAATTATTCTTTGAGTCAAATGTTTACAAATATTTTAATACCTGGCTAAATGACAGAAAGCATATTTTAATTTTTATAGAATTGGTTTTTCAGCATTTATTACAAACAAAATAACCTTAAGAACTGCATTTAGTGTGTAGTCTTTCAAGAAAAAGTCATATTTGGGAATACTTCACATCTGAGAATGAATAAAAAATGTCTACTTTCACCTCAATTTTGTCATGAAAAAAAATCTAAAATCACACTAAATAGCATCCAGGATAAACCATCTTCAAGCCAAACATAAAGAATATAAAGAGTAGGAAGAAGCCCGGCCGCCGTGGCTCAGCAGTTGACCATCAACCTGGGATCCAGGAGATCGTGGTTCGATTCCCGGTCAGGGCACATGCTGGGATTGTGAANTCAATAACTACATGTTCATGTTGTCACCATATTATCTAATCCACACAATGTGCAAAGTGGACAAGGCATGCATTTAGAATTACTACTAATACCTGAATAATTGCTTTCAAATAGAGGTAACACATAAGTTCTGTATTTATGTATGACAGGCTGAAATTCTGTCAGTTTAAGTACAGATGTATACTTATAAAAATAAAATCGGCAGTTAATGACGTGACTTTTTAAAAATATGTTTTAATTGATTTTAGAGGGAGAAAGGGAGAGAGAGAAACATGAATATGAGAGAGAAACATCAATCGGTCGCTTCATGCACGCACCCCAACCAGGGACTGAAACTGAAACCTGGGCATGAGCCACGACTGGGAATCGAGCAGAAGCCCTTTCACTGCGCTGGACGATGCTCCAACCAACTGAGCCACACCAGCCGGAGCATGATGTGACTTTCACATTAAAAAACAATTGAGAACTTTCAACTAGTTAAATACATTAACTAATAATGTGAATATCAATAGGGTAGACTAGCTAGATCACTATAAATAACAGTAATTATTCTTTGAGTCAAATGTTTACAAATATTTTAATACCTGGCTAAATGACAGAAAGCATATTTTAATTTTTATAGAATTGGTTTTTCAGCATTTATTACAAACAAAATAACCTTAAGAACTGCATTTAGTGTGTAGTCTTTCAAGAAAAAGTCATATTTGGGAATACTTCACATCTGAGAATGAATAAAAAATGTCTACTTTCACCTCAATTTTGTCATGAAAAAAAATCTAAAATCACACTAAATAGCATCCAGGATAAACCATCTTCAAGCCAAACATAAAGAATATAAAGAGTAGGAAGAAGCCCGGCCGCCGTGGCTCAGCAGTTGACCATCAACCTGGGATCCAGGAGATCGTGGTTCGATTCCCGGTCAGGGCACATGCTGGGATTGTGAACTCCATCCCCAGCAGGGGGTGTGCAGGAGGCAGCTGATCAATGACTCTCTCATCACTGATGTTTCTCTCTCTCTCTTTCTCTTCCTCTCTCTGAAATCAATAGATATATTTAAAAAAAAAAAAAAAAAGAGAGAAGAAAACAATGTTAAGAAAAAAATTACTCAAACACATTTTGTACTCACTTATCAACTTTCAAAACAGACTTTACAAAAACACTTTACAGAGACAGTTTCTTGTAGTTTTATGTCTATGAAGGGCAAAAATTTAAACAAAAAGCTTGTCGAAAGGACTGCTATAGACAGCCAACAGTCTGCAGTAACTGAAGATGAAGGATCTTCGAGGTCTGCCCCAGGTACAGCTTCCTTCCAGAAAACAGCCCATCAGACACTCTCCCGAATCACATCAGCTCTGTCCAGAAACATCAGTGATGGGACTAACAGTGGCAGCTGAAGGTGATTGTTTGGGATCACACATGTGTACCAGTGACTACAGGCGCAACCTGGCTGCTGATAGTGCTGACAAAGTATGTTTCAAACCTCAGTTAGCTGGAGCATCGTCCTGTACACCGGAAGGCAGTGGGTCCAGTTCCCGATCAGGGCACATACCTAGGTTGTGGGGTTTGATCCTCGGTTTGGGTATGTACGGAAAGCAAACTGATCAATGTTTCTCTCTCATATCACCAATGTTTCTTTCTCTCTCTCTCTCTCTCAAAATCAATTTTTAAAAAACATATCAAGTGATGATTAAAAAAAGGGTCAGTGTTAACTACACACAAAAAATTTGAAAATGAAAAGACAAACTTAGAAAGCCTCCCCTGTGAGAGTACGCTGCTTCCACATTTTTGTTAGACAATCTACAACCTACATTGAGTCCTTGTTTGTGAACAGACATTGATCTTAAGACAAAAATCCCTACTTGTTTCCTACGATGTAAGGTGAGGCAGACAGAGACAGAATATAGTAAATGGCAATCTTCAAGCCATTAAATGAATCCCATTAGGTGTCTATGTATAAAAACAGCCTACCAAACACCTTCCCTGTGTCCCCACAGACATACCACGTGCTGCTCTGGCACTCTTGCTGGTCAACTCCACCTTACATCTCAGTGATCGGTCAGCTCACTAAGACTGACCAGGTATCCGAAGGCCAGGGCCTCAATAATTATGAAGGAAATATCCTGGGGCTCTGAGAATCCTCTAGTTCCTAGACCCGATAGCATATAATTCATCCCTAAAATGAATTAAGACAACCAACAGATAAAGCCATGTTAAAATGCAAATGCTAAGTTGTGACTTCAGGGGCGCTCAGCCCAGGATGTGCATTATAGAATCACCCGGAAAGTATGCAAACCTGTAGCCCAGGCCCCACTCCAGAGCAGGTTAAGGGGTAGGGTCCAGAGAGTACATTTGGTTTATACCAAATTTACGTTTATACCAAATTTACGTTTATAGTCCCAAGTGCACTTCAATTTAATGATTAAAACCAAGCTTGGCTGTGAAAACTGATTTGAGTCATGGACCCACCAAGTACTGGCCGTATGACCTTAGGAAAATTAGATGACATCTCAGAGTCCAATTCTTCATCTGTCAAAAGGGGATACACCAAAAGTGCAGTTGTGAAGAGAAAAGTAATGCATTTAACAGTGCCCGGCACTGAATAAGCAATTAATAATCATCAGTAATTTGACCAATTACTTCATGCCATAGACAGTCCAGTTCCTGGCAAGCAGTTAACATCATAAATGTTAAATCCTGAGTGCAAAAAAACATTATGCACCAGTACCACCATGGACAAGATGGCCAATTCCCTCTGTCTCCCCAACCAGTGGGCTGAGTTGATACCTTACCTGTTCTGGGGACAATTGGTAATTCAGTTTCCAGTGCTGTCAACCTGGTGTCTTTCATGGTCACTGGAGGGAAAAACACAAATATGTACATAGTAATCTTACAATGCAGCAAACCAGACCCAACCAGAGTGAGTTTAGGGTTCCCCTGGGCCCACCTCCTTCCTACTCTGGCCCTGACAGGTGGCATCTGCTCTCCAAAAAAATGAACTCTTAAAATCCCTGGGCACACCTACCTCTCCCTGTCCATATTTCTGAACAGCTGGCTGCTGGGAAATTTTCTATACTGTGCGGAACTTGTACTCTCTGCCTTTGTTAACTGCCTGTGTTAGAGCTATAAACAAATGGGCAGTAGTGAGGGTCCAAGTTGAAATCAAGCTCTGCCATCTTTTGGCTGCGTATCTTTTGGCTACTTATCCTAAGTCTCTTATGTCTGACCTTAACCTACCGCACCTGTACAGCAACAAGAGTAAAGGCCTCTTCCTCATAAGGCTGTGTGGTGACTGAAGGCGATGCATCCAGGAGCCCTGGGCACAGTGTGTGGCATGGAGTGCTAACAATGGGAGCCCCAGGGGGCAGCCCCAAAGGTGGAGCAGCCCCAGGTCCTTCATGGGCCTGCATCGCCTCAGCACCCACCACTCCCCCCTCACCCAGCCCCACTAGCCTCTCAGTCTCTCAGCCAAGCCAGTCTCACCTCCATTTCAGGACCAGTCTCCTCCCTCCCCCCAAGCTATATCTTCACCCTTAAAATCTCAGCTTAAACACACATTCCTCAGAGAAGTCTTCCTTTCCCTCCACTCCCAAGGCCCAGCCTAGGTCAGGTCCCATTGTGTGCTCTTACAGCCTGCATTTCTGTGTCACCTATATAATTAGTTACTGAACATGCCTCCCACACTAGACTGGAAGGTACATCCAGGGAGAGAGTGGCTTAGTCAGTACTGTATCTCTAGCAGCTACCACAGTGCCTGGCACAGCAGGTCCTCAGATAAGGCCTTGTTCCTTCAACATCATAAAACTCGACTCCTTTATATCAATTAGCCTATAATAAAAATGGTTACATTATATATCATTTTGCTTAAAGTTGCAGAACCTAACAACATTAAGTGAGGACTTACTGTACTTGTTGATCGAGCATTTCTCTACTTTCTTCCCCTACTTTCTGTCCACATTATCTCATGTTAAACATCTATGTCAAATATGAGTATATATAAACACATACATTCCAGTTTGCTTCAAAATGTATTTAGGTACAGGCTGACCTCCAGACTGGAAGCTCCATGAGGACAGAGACCATGCGGTCCACCACTGGACACACAGGGCCTATTTCAGCATCTGCCACACAAGAGGCAAACAACCCTCTTCTTGGGAACAAAGATTTCATCAGCTTGTTTGGTAGCCATTCCAGGGCTGACTGTAGAGTATGAAAGCTGAGCCTCACATACTATATACACCTAATTACCCCGAGCACAGAAAAGCCTGGAAACAAGCCCTTCAACGTACCATCCTGGTCAAAGTCAAACCAGGGGATTGAGCAACTGACTCTCTAACAATGAAAACCTCTTGCCCAGACAACAAGGTGATTCTGTTTCCTCGTGGAGCACACTCCACGCATTTATACCATGGTCCTCAGTGGCACATGCACACGTGCGCAGAGCTGGGAGGCAGGCTGGCCCTTCAGACAGGGCGTGCTTGCCCTGCCACAGTCGCTCAACCAACTAAAAAGGTGGAATTAAACATGTGAGCCTCTAATCTCCAGAATCCTTCAATCAGCTGTTAGTCCAGCGAGTCATACAGACTTCTTGCAATTAATCCCAGTTGGTTCTTTTACCTGAAAAGCAGTATCTAAGGTGAGGGTAAAATTCAGATATATATAAGATGGGATCCTGCGGCCTGCCCAGCCACACCACTGTCCTAGATAAAGGCACTGGCACAGGAAATCAGGTTTTTGTCCAATGTGAACATGAAGACTCCTCAACACCTTTATCACTACACAAAAAACTGCAATGGCAATCAATCAGCATCGCTGTGGCGTTGGCATGTCAAGGGCTACCTGCCATTACTGATACTTATGTTTATTCTCTCATTACTTTGTAGTTAAATCCTGCCCTACAGAGGGACTACAGGGCAGAACCATTCTGGTCAGTGAAGTGAGATGTGACATGACTTCCCTGACCAGAAGTGAGGAAGGAAGCGGACTGGTCACAGATGTGCACACCCTCAAGGGGCATGGATGGAAACACCCGTCAGAGCGTAACAGGGTCGATCCACCTTAGCTTCAAAAGCCAAACCAAAAAAGAAACGAGCCTCCCAATGGAGCTGTTCCTGTGATAGTTTGAAGCAATGCTCTCACCTATGGCAATGTTGTGACTGCACTTCTACAAGCCGTCTTTTTGAACAAACAGCAGGTTTGAGAAAGAAGATGAGGGCTCTGAACTTTAGTGTCTTGAGATTAAACAGAAGGAAGGTAGGTCAATTTGTTGTCACAGTTCACCTCAATTCCACAGTGTGGGTGCTTACAGATTGATGGCTTAGATACCTGGGATACATGCAAACTTGGGGCACCTGCCACATGGTGCTGTCATCAGCAGGACCTGTACACACATGTCACATATCTCTGCCCTCGCCAAGATGCATGATGGGCCATGAGATGGCTAAGAGCTACCCATACCTCTATGAACGTGTGTGGCAGGTACCTACAAGGCCTTTAGAAAGTATCTGATCTGAAAGTATCAGCTGAATATTCAGAGTTTTGGAAAGCCAGTGTTGTCTGTGGCCTCCTCTCCCCTAGGAGTCCCAGAACTACAAATTACACAAAATAGGTGACTGCAGAGCTATCGCCTGAGATAACTTTGTACTCACTTGTCTGTGACAAAAACAACTATGGGTATAAATGAAGGCAGATGTCTCTTCACTACACTTGTTTCCTATCACTCGGGTTTTCACTAAGAAAAAACTCAAATTCAACTTGGATACAGGTTCAGGCATAGGTGGACTATTTCATTATCAAGTACAGTAGATATAAATCAGAAATATTGCACTTGTATGTTAATAATACAGTTAATATGTTAACAATACAGATACTAATAATCTGTTAATAAGACACTATTACACTATCTGAGGTAATATTCTATCAGGTGAACAAAGTTGCCTCCTACACAAATGCATCCAAAAAAGGTAAGACACCAACTCCCAGTCCCTCTTCCTACCAATACACAGAAGGAAAGAAAAAGGGGCAGGAAATACTACTTAGTATGTGAGTAAAACAGCTGATGGCAAGACCTGCCAAAGTGTGTAGTCACATGTGATTTAAATGGTCTCAGTGGTAGTCCTTCTCAAGGTCATGTAAGCTGGGGCAGGAGAGTCCAGACTCTCCATTCAGAATTTTGCCATCAGGAAGCTTCATGGACAATTTGCTGAAGGTTGTATCCTATTTCAAAGGTCGCCTGCAGGGACAGAGCTTGATTTTGGTATGGTGTATTTCTTCTATAAATAATGTTTATGTTTTGACTTTCTATTAGCATGAACAAAATTATTTACCAGAAAATACAGGCCAGACAGATATCATGTATGTGTCAAAAAGTCACCATACAGGGCTTCCCCTAAAAGAAATCTGAGCAAACTATCATATTTTTTTAGGTTTCAAGCTCATAGGACTAAAACAGAAACATCCACAGAATAAAGTCATAGGGTTTGATAGTCTAGGACAGTGGTTCTCAAATGTGGTCCTCACACCAGCAACATCAGCATCACCTGGAATTTGTTAGGAAAGCAAATTCGTGGGCCTAACCCAGACCTCTGAGTCAGAAACTTCGGGAGCGGGGTCTTCTGTGTGATTCTGAAGCCCAGGAGAGGTTGAAAGCCACTGGCCCAGACAAAAGAAGGACGAAGGCGGGGAACAGGAAGCGTATACATTTCATGTCTACTCTGAGGTTCAAGGGGAAATAGTGCATAAACCTTGGGGAAGACCCAAAGGAATTGTACCAGGTGCTAAAGGTACCAGCACAGACTGAGTGCCAGGCCTGACAAGCGTTTAGCAAGTTACATCCCTGAATTCTTCATTTCTGATGTGGCACCCAAAGCTGAATTTCCAGTGAAGTGTAAAGAATATTTCAATATAAAAGTCTGACAAGATGATTTATAATACAAACAGTACATAGGCCCATCTTTAAAAGATTTGGGCTTCTCCTTACCTACTGGTTTAAAAAAAAAAAAAGATTGTTTTTAATGAAGCACAAGTCCATTTTTAAGAGCAGTAATCTATCTGGAATGAAGTTCCTGAAGACATACCCAGCATTTCATATCTCTATGAATTTTCTTGGTGGTGATGGAACGGGAAGGATATTTGACCCATAGTTTATTTTCAGAGGGGAACTGAGCCACCTCCTCCAGCGCCCCCCCACCACCACCACCACCAAAAAAAGATTAAGAACCACTGACCTATGAGTTAGTTTATGAGATCAGCAGTCCAGGCAGTTTAACACACTGAAATATTAAATCTGGGGGCTCTGGAGTGAACCAGCAGGGTTCAAATCCCAGCTCAGCAGCTGAGTAAGTGGCTTTAGGCCTCAGGTCCTTCACCTCCCTATCCTGTCTGTTAAGGCTGTGGGAAGAGTTCATAGGATCTTACCTGCAAAATAGCACAGTGTTTGACTCATAAGCACTCAACACATATAAACTTTATAACAATATTACTACTAAACAAAATGTATTGCCGGATACATAGGCTCTGCGGTCTATCCATTCAACAGCTTATATTTGAAACACTGATAAAACTACTGTTTAACTTAAAATGGATACATTTCTCATTTGTTACTGTGCCCTGTGAGCCACTCAAAGCAGCACATCTAAATGACTGCAGACATTAAGGCCACTACACTTGTTCTTATCACTCTGCACTGTGTCTTCCATCACCAACAGAAGGACACACTTGTCCCTCGTTACTCAAATACTTCATGGTCTTTACTGCCATTATCTTTACACAGTGACCTGTGAGTTCTAGGCGGGTAACTAAACTGCCTTGTTTTGTATCAAACCTTGGTTTTTAAGGCACTTTACTCATTAGATGACAATCTGAATTCCTTCAGTCTTTAGAAATATTGTTACCTTTTGCTACTTCCCTGTATAGAACAAAAGTTAGCACTGCACAAGAAAAGGGACAAGAAAAAATTAGCAAGGTCCCGAGAATTAACTGAGATATACATACACACACATATATATAATTTTTTATTCTACCCCCAAAAGAGACATTAGACATTAAATTACTAATATCTAGTAACTACAGGCTTAAAAGTAAACCAGAAAATTCCTGATGATAGACCTCTTTCAGACCCACCTAAATTGGGGGGAGGGGGGATGAGTATTTCATGCAAACTAAATTATATTAAACACTGAAGGAAAGAACAGTGTTTGAGTACATATTAATTATATGTATATTTAAAGCAAAAAACTACAGGTTTGAATGCTGAGTACACTTTTCTTTCATGATTGCAGCTACTTAAATGACAGACAAAACTAATAAAAATTAAAATAATCTCTCAAAGAGATTTATCGTATGAGAAACTTAAAGGAAATTACCTTTTAAAAATAATGTGATACAAAGGAAAAGATAAACAGGTCATGCTTTTAAAAGTCACCAATTTGCTGATATATTATAAACCCATTAACATTTTTATTCAATCAATTTAGTCAGAATGTTTAACTGAAGCCCCAGGAGGATCTTAAATCACAGAAATTTAGACTTAGGAATACTCTAATTTACAATCCAACTCTCTTATTTCACATATGAAGAAACAGGCTCAGAGAGCTATTTGACTTTTATAAAGCTTGAAATGGTTGCTATATTACTGTATTTGGCTCATCTGCATCCAAGAATGTCCAATTAATTCCAGGAGAAGCTCATTTCAGTACACTATGGCCCTGGAACCCAGAGAAGGAGCATGCCTGTACCCTACCAAACTTGGGAAAAAGACAGAGGTATAAGATCAAGTCAGCTGTAATTGAGAGCCCAAAATTCACCCCACTACACACACCAGAGGTTAGAAGCTATTTTTAAAAATGCCTCTGCAATAAATAGTAATTTAAAAGAAAAATAGCCCAATTGAAACTTTTTTAAAAAATGTTTTTACTGACTTCAGAGAGAGGAAGGGAGAGGAAGAGAGACAGAGAAACGTCAATAATGAGAGTCTTTGATCGGCTGCCTCCTACAGGCCCCCCACTGGGGATCGAGCCTGCAACCCAGGCATGTGCCCTGACTGGGAATCGAACCAGTGACTTCTAGGTTCATAGGCTGACACTCAACCACTGAGCCATGCCAGCCAGCCAACTGAAACTTTAAGGCACTGATCTTCAACCTCTGGTGCACATCAGGACCACCTTTGACTTCTCCCAAAATATACATCCAGGGTGTCCTCAAAGACTGACTATGCAGGTCTACCTACTACGGGGCCTGACATCTGTGACGGAGGTTCTGATGAACACTGTTAGAGATCTTGTTTCCAGCAATTTTACTATTCTGTAAACATCACACAGACAGGTATATATGTGATTAGTCCTAGTAAGACTGTTCGGTTTCATCTCAAATGAAGCCAGGCATGCACAGAAGGAATCACATTACACCACAACAGTTGCAGTATTGGAGGTCTTTGCTCTTAATCCAGTGAGGAAGAGTATCACTGAGTCAAAGGATCTGACACCCTCCAATTTAACACAAGCAAGTGAGAGGGCCTGGAGCCAGCTGGAAATCTAACTGGGAATTTAGAAACATACCAAGTCTTTATGACACCAGGAAATGCATGAAGCAAAGAAAGTTTATTACATCACCACCCTTCCAGGCACGTGATGTAAGTGTGTTTTGGGTAAGATATTAACTTTAGTTAAGAGGATATTTTCCATTTACGTCTTCTATAAATACCCCTTAAGTTTATACCAGATGGTTAAAAAGGAGATTCTGCAGCTCCCCAGGGCAACAGCAAAGAATGCTGCGGGTTCTTAAGGATGCGCGACTGTTACAGGCACCTTTCCCTGCACAACCCTAAATCAGTTTTCACATTGGCATACCCCAGGTCTACACAGCAATGTTCAGCCTAAGAATCACAGGTGGTTGCTCCGTAAATGGAGGCTCCCAGAAGATCCCGCTTTGTCATGCTTCTGGAAACGTACAGCTCCACTTTGCCAGCCAGTTTGAATATGGGTGAGTCCCCATTGACCCCAAAATTATAAATCACAGTGTCTCAGGAGAGTGTTATTATTATTTAGTACTTTTACGGCACACTCTATGTAAAGTCAAGTGCTATCCCTATGCTTTCTATTAAAAAAACAAAACAAAAAACACCAGCAAGGACTTCTGCAGTCAGCTCACCAGTGTTGTAAAGGTATCAAGTACTTTCCAGTCTAGATCCGCATGTTGAGCTGCACAGCACCACCTCTGAAGCAGAAGCCAAGGCGCAGGAGCAAGGCACTCCCTTCAGAAGTACACACACACGCACACGCATGCACACGCATCCACCCCCCACAAGCCCACGCCCACACACGCGCGCGTGCATGCACACACGAGTGCACACACGCATGCCCACGCACACGGGCACGCACGCACGCACGCATGCACACGCATGCACAAGCACACATGCACACGAATGCACACGCACACGTGCGCGCATGCACACACACGCACACGCACACGAATGCACACGCGCTCATGAATGCACACACGCATGCCCACACACACACACACGCACGAGGGCTTTGGAGCACAGGCCCGGGCCAACAGATTCCTGCAAATCGCTTCACTAGGGTGACGGGCCAGCTCTGATCGAATAACTAAACAGCCGGACCCGGCCGAGCCGTGCGGGTATAAATAACGACGGGCCGCAGCCTGGGGACGGGTCCGACCCCGGTTCCGGTCCCGGCTCGGACACTGCCCGAGGCGGCCTCAGGCGGGTTCCCCGCACCTCGCTGGGCCTCAGTTTCTGCGTCCGAGGGGCGCAGGCGTCGCCGTCGCTGAGCCGAGGACGGGGCGCAGCCCTTCCCCAGCGAGGACTCCGCGAACGCCAGCTGCTGGGACTAGGACCGCACCCCCTTCCGAGACACCCCCCCACCCCCCGTCCAAAACACACCGAGCAAAACTCTTCACCGGGAAACACAAAGGGAGAGCCTGGGTTCCAGCAGCTCTCGGGCTGCAAGCCCTCCACCCTCCGGTTCCTCAAATGAATGAATGAGCGGCCAGGAGCCGCTCCGCAAATAGCTGTCTCTCAGGCATCACCTCTGCTGACTGGAGGTAACTGTCTTCCACCGTCGTCAAACACCCACAAGCCCTCCGGGAGCGGGGCGACCCGGTCCTGCCGGCTCCGGCGGAGACCCCGCGCCCGGGCGAGCCCTCGGCGCCCACAGCAGCCTCCATTCATTCC